CATCGCGTCTAAGAGGTCCATTTACAGTCCAGCCCAGCATCGTTTTGACCGCATAGGGGCCCCCCTCCGTACTTCGAGCAACTTGCCATGGCTCCAGTGCTCTAGGGACATTGGATCCAATCAGCAGGTCAATATCTGAATCAATCTCCCTTATCTGGACATGTCTCAGATGTGGCCATCGTTGGAGGTCTTTCTGTCGAGGAATATTGCCTCGATGAACTGGCATGTTTTTTTGCGTATAAATATCAGGTAGTTCACAAAAACAATCACCGTCTAATTCAGCCACTTCCAAATCTGAAACAATATGACTCCCAACGACCTTCTCCTGACCCATAGTACGAAGGAGAATACCAGTTCTTCGTCCCCTGACATTAAGCTTGTTCATCAGCCGCTCTGTACAGAATGACGCTGAGCTTCCAGGATCCAAGAAGGCATAGGTAATCAACACCTTGTGCCCCTTCCTATGTTTAACTTGAACTGGAACTATAGAGAGTGTACAATCATGGTCACCGGCCCCAGTAAGACCACTGGATTGAACAGAGATCAGAGAACTGCCCACTGCTGTCTCAGACTCTCCTTTGACTTGCACTAAATTATTTTCTTTCTCTTTTGGATAAATGTGAAGTGCAGTAGGGTGCTTCAGACTGCATACTTTGCATGAGAGACGCTTCCTACAATCTCGACTCATGTGCCCAATGCACAAACAGCCAAAACACACACCATGTTTCTTTAAGAAAGTAATCTTCTCATTATGCACCCTCTTTTCCAACTGGCGGCACAAATCCAATGTGTGCTCACCTCCACAAAATATGCAAGCCTTCATACCAGCTGACCTGTCCTCTTTTACTTTTGTTCCTGATTCAACTTTCCTTTCCACTGTTGCAACGGTGGTAGCAAAGCTACTTCCTTTGGCTCTAGAACTAGACTCAAACCTAGATTTTCTTGCATCCTTGTTTGCTGTTGTTGATGGTGTATCCTGTATATCCCCGAATAGTGGATCACTTGCTATCCTCACTTGTCTTTCGATGAAATCGACAATATCTATAAATTTGGCTCTCTGTCCACTCCTTTCCTGCAACTCACAAGCCACAGTTCTCCATCTGTCCCTATATTTGTAGGGCAGCCTTTTTACGATGGTCAGCATAGTGGTAGGCATGTTCAACTCCTCCATATATTCAACATCGTCCATGGCATTACAACATCCTCGAAGAAAAAGACTGTATGCTTGTAGAGATTTCACATCTTCTGATTTTATTGGAGTCCATGAAAGAGCCTTTTCCATATAAGCTGCAGCAATTTTCTGTGCATTACCAAAATGCTCTTGCAGCAAAGCCTTAGCCTTGGCATATCCTCTGTCAGGTGCCATATGTTGACAGCTTCTGACAAGATCCCTTGGATGCCCCCTGATGTATTGTTCAAGGAAATACAAGCAGTCTTTAGGATTATCAGCCTTCTCTTCGATACTGTGTTCAAAAGACCTCATGAAGGTATGGTATTGCAAAGGATCACCGTCAAAAATCTGAATGTCTCGTTTAGGCAGTAATGAAAGAGATTGTTGTTGAACCAATAAGGCTGTTATCTCATTTTGTTTTTCTAAAACTGTAATTATTTGACTTTGATCACTACTGTTTGTCACCTGTGTAGAAAATTGATGAGTGCTGTGCATAGGCAGTGGACGTGATTGTAACGTATCTTGATGTCCCGTGACTTCTGGACGTCTAGAGGATGTGGGTTGAGGTCGTGGTGATTGAATAACATTTCCCACTCGTTTTCCCACTCGTTCTGTACCAGAAAAATGTGGATTGGACTGTCCAAGCGTTGGAATATTCGTATCGGGCACAAATGATTTTGCCTCAGCATTAAGGGTTTTGGTTATCTTTTGTCCCCTTTCTAGATAAGAATTCATGCCATTGGACTTCACAGATGGATGACTTGAAACACGAGACCCTCTTGAGCCTCTCAGCACATTTACTTTAGCCACTGAGGCGGCTATTTCCACTTCAAGTTCAAACTCTTCTCGTTTTTTCCTTAGCTGATCCTCTTGTTCTTCTAACGCATGTCTGTCCTTTAATAATCTTTGTCTTGCAATAAGAGCAGCCATATCTGCCTCTGCTTTAATGCATGCTGATGATGTTGTTGAGATACCAGACCTTCTTCCAGCCGAGCTCTGCTTACTTTTAGAGCATTTACTTCCTATGTTTGACACACTGTCGCTTGGTTTAATTTCATCTTGTATAACAGAAGCTTGAACATTTTGCTCAGAGTGATCTGAAACATCAGACTCATTATCACTATGAGGTTCATCCAACTTGTGCATTGATTCCCTTTGTGGTACAAATATGGGAGTATCATATGTGACAACATGAGCAGCAGTAGGCCTACGGCTTGTTTGTCTCCCAATTTCAGAAAGCCATCCCTTTGCATCTTCCATAAATCCATTGTAGCATTTTAGTACATTCACGAACCATTCCTTTTGTTTTTCTTGTTCCTCTTCAGGAAGCATAGGAATCACAGAATCATGTAACACAGTAGTTTCATCCACCATTTGACTCATTTTCTCAAGATGGGATTGCACTTGTGGGGCATTATCATCCTTTTGCATGAGATCCTTTATTGTCTGTATTAGACCTTTAATTTTATGAACATTTTTTTTACGTTCTTTTTGTAGTGTTTCAATCTTATTCACCAAGGCCTTGGCAGTCATTTTGATTTTTCTCTTTTGTTCATCCATCTCTGAACCATTTGCGTCTGAGTTTGATTTTGATTCACTTGTTGCCATTTTCCAATATACCACAAATCATCCAAGAATCCGCGCCGTTCAATGAATCAATCCATCCATCAATCAATCGCGGCGTCATAAACCACATCCAATGACCAACAATAAACACCAGCAAACAACAACGCGTCCCCTATGGACGAGCGGCAGTAACCTTTTTACACTGTGTTCAAACAAACAACTTGCACAGCATAAATTAAAAAGTTACATACCGCTTCCGTTGCTGTATTGATCGCGGCCGGGTCTTTATCCTCCGTGCAGTAATGAATGAACCGCCATCCAACAGCAGTACCCGATATATTTCAGTGTTTCCTCTGATATCCAAAGCGTCCTGTTGCGATCCGCGATGAACAGCTCGTTTCCATAGAAAAACACTTTGGTTTACAACAAAGAACTTTTCTGTTGACTAATGTAGCGGCTGTAGACCAGGCAAAATTATCTTTGCAGCCGCGAGAGACTAAACACTGGGAGAATGAATGCACTGCGACGCGCAGAAACAGTTTCACACAGCGATCCACTCATTTATTGCTTCTTGCACATAAAATACAACTGTTAGCCAGTTACCAGTTCATAAGTGCAGTGTGAGTGCATAAAGTGCGGTCAACAGAAAGTGTTCGCTCCCAGGCTCACTCCCTCTCTGTCAAAGCCCCCATACTCAGGTGCACAGGTGTAGCAAACAAATACGTGCAAGAAACACATCACTTCCGCCCAAGCCCCGGTAGACACGCCCACCACCTACAATCTGAGTGCAATAAAAATAATGAATGAGACCATAAAACCATAGGAGACTTACAGTTGGCTCTTACACTGGTGTTTTAACTTGTCTCTTTTGTCCACTTTCAAGCTCTTCTGATTTCTTTGAGGTGGGTAAATTTATGGCGGCAACACCCTCATAAATGAGAGATTTACATAGAGAGTAGGGATGCACGATATATCGGCCAGCATATCGGTATCGGCCGATATATGTTCATTTTTAATGTTATCATTATCGGCCTGGTAAGAAAATGTGGCCGATATATTAAAGCCGATAAATAATGTATTATTCCCTTCAGCTGAGACACTTGTTGAGCACTGTTTATGTTTTTGAATTTCTTGAAATATGATTGAAATCTCTTGAAAAATGTGCCGCGCAAATCTGTCATATCGGCTATACAACACTATAATGAGAACATCATTATAATTGTGCGCTTGGGACATGGAATTAATTGTGAGACTTTTGTATTTGTAATCAGGCTCTCAAAATTAGATAAAAATTTGGATTTAAGTTTATCGGCCGATATATCGGTTATCGGCTTTCAAATATAAAGAATTATCGGTATCGGCCAAAATTTTCATATCGGTGCATCCCTAATAGAGACGGTATAAAATGCGTTAATTTAGTCCATCAGTGTTCCGGGAAACTGGAGTGGAATGGGGGTTATAACATATACACACTCCTGCATGGCCTGCCGTGTCAGATGGAGAGGCTGAGCGCGAGTGTGTTTGTGAGAGATTTGCAGTGCACGTGAGGACAGACAAAAATGCATGCCATCCCTGGAACAAGACCGCAGATATTACTGAAAGTCCTCTTTCTAACATAATTGCCCCCAACCACACATTACATAACCGTATAGCCATTCAGTGTGCCACTAATTGACCTTAAATGCATTTATCAGGCAGATGAGCAATTAAAACCATTATGAAATGGGTAGTTGCATCTCTAAATTGAAATGAATATTATAGAGACTTGGAGTGGACTGTTTTTTGGTGTGGATCAGTAAGCAACTCGGGACATCCTCAGAATCACCTTACAAGGCCCTAGCAGAATGAATTAGCAACTGCATAGCTACACCCAGACATCCAGATCTTTCGCACAAACAAGCACCGCTCATGTTTTATCAGAAGACATGAATCTAGCTACAACTTAATGTAATTATTTATTGAACAATGTCTCCACCACCTATTGTGCCCAGTCATAAAATCACTGTAACGCACAGGCCTCATGCAGCTTTTTGCTGTAATGAAATCTAATTTAACTAATGAATTTATGCAAAGCTATGATAAGTAGCAGCTCTGGGATCTCGTTCCTGAGGGCAGATGAGGCCGAAGCTGCTCTTTTCTATTACCCCTCCATCTCAGATGGTGTAACCATGGTGACCTGTCAGCCTGCATCAGCTGGAAGCAGCCTAAAATAAACTCTCACGGATACTGTGTCTGATCTCTCATCTCTCACCCCCCCCAACAGAGGTGTTGCTGGACCCGAGCCGGACCTGGTGCCCGTCCTCCACGTGCCAGGCCGTGTGCCAGCTGAAGGAGTCTGACACGCCGCTTCCGCAGTTGGTGCGGTGCAGCATTTGCACACTTGAGTTCTGTTCCGCCTGCAAGGCCAGCTGGCACCCAGACCAAGACTGCCAGGAGAACGTTCCCATCACCTCGTTTCTACCTGGAGAAAGCAGGTACTGTTGTCTTTTAAAGCTACACTGTGTGATTTTTACCCCCATCTAGCAGTGAAAAGGTATATGACCATCCAGTGAATATTAGTTTCTGTTCCTCTCAATTCCGATTTCGTTTTAACTCCTACGGTGGCCAATGTAGTCCAAGATTAACATGTCTTCCAATTTGACCTCGTCCATGAGTGTTAACTCAAACGTAAACGCGAAAGGCGAAGCTTGAATTAACGGGTATGTCCCTCTTTGGCTAATGTACTTTCAAGATGGTGGGGCAACATGGCGACCGACATTAGAACCCCTTACCCGTATGTATTTTCAATGGCATATTATACATTCACGAAAATACTTTATTACTTGAACGAAGTAAATATACATTAATGAGCACATATATTTTTGAAAGAACTAAGTGTTTTTAGCTAAGAATAAACTAAAAGAGTTACACAGTGTAGCTTTAAATGTGCTTAAATGACAGCACTTGTGGCATAATGTTGCAAAAAGCAAAAACCTTGAGGCACTTCAAATTAAACAAAACTGGAAAGTGTTAACATGTTTTTAGTGTGAAAAAAAAAATTTAATATCCAATATTACAACTTTTTTTTTTTTTTGCCATGACAACATAATGCCTTAAACTGACTGTAAAGTGACCAACCAAAAATAAAAGGGACCAACTTTAATATACAAGCTTTAAGAGAAGAATTAATGTAAGGGGTTTTATAAAATTGTACATTACCATTCAAAAGTTTGGGGTCAGTAAGATTTTTGAAATAAATTAACATTTTTATTCAGCAAGGATGCATTCAATTGTTCAAAATTGACAGTAAAGACATTTAGGCCAGCAAGTAAAAAGACATTTTCATTTCAAATAAATGCTGGTCTTCTCAACTTTCTATTCATCAAATAATCCTGAATAAATAAATACAATTAAAATAAAATAAAATTGATATTATTGATAACAATTAGAAAATTTTTTAGTAATGCAGTAATGATGCTGAAAATATATTTATTAATATTTTACAATATTACTGTAATGCTTAGATCCACAGAAGATGAAGTTGATTATAAAAGAACATAAGATTTATCATGAACTCAGAAATAACAACCAACATACGGAACAGACAACAACCGACACTGAACTGAGGGACCAAAGGAACTTAAGTAGTGGTACAACAAGGTTTATAAGGAGACACAGCTATACAGGAGGACCAATCATCGGTAACCATGACAATTCATAAGTGGCGGGAAACTAGACAAAGGAAACATGTGACTGAATGAAAACAAAACAAACTAAACGTGACTGTGACAAGTCTTGGAGAGCATAGAAGACTTTCAAAAACATTAAATAACCTTACCAACCCCAAACTATTGAATGGTAGTGTAAGTTTCTCATTTCTGCTTTCAAATGATTTCACTGCTTTTCCACTGAAAATTGGCTCCATTTACTTTATTTGTCTCATGTAACCCTTTTTCTATAAAGAAAATAAGGGACGAGTACATTTTTAAATTATTTTTGGGGGTACACTGTGCCACAAATGCTGTTGATTGAGGTTATCCTTTTTCCTTTAAGTCTTTTTCATCTTGTCTCCTCCTCATTCATCAGCAGATACGCTTCAGTCTAGTTTTGTCTCTTTGATGTGCGTTTAAACACTCCCATCCTCCCTCCTGGTTGGGTATGTGTATCCACTATCCAGCTGTCATGATGAGGCATACAGTGTAATGATGTTCGATGTTGATAAGTCGACATTAGATTTGAAATAAAATACCTCAGTCTGTCAGTTTTTCTGCCTTATTGAACATGCTCATCATTCAGTCGTAGAATGGATTTTCAGCTTCTAGATGTTGAAGAGTGATTTTTTTTTTCTCTCTCTCTCTCTGCTCAGTAAGCCAGAGATGCATGCACAGGTGTTATTTGACATTCATGTCACACGCACACTTGATTCCAAAGCAAAAGCATCATTGAGTGGAGTTTCTGATCCTTGATCTTGGGTCTTACACGAGTGAATACTCAGCCAGCTCTGAAGTAAATTGCTTTACTAATACTCAAAAGAGCCTTTCAAGTTTACAGCTCAATTTCTATATCATTTCATGTTTGAGATTGCACCTAAACTCCTAAGTATATCTCAGAGTGAGAGAATCAGTCTTTAGACAGCATGAAATCAAAGTGGATCTTTCTGTCTGGCCCAGTACACAAGAAAAATAATAATAATACTATTCTGTATACATGTGCATATATATATATATATATATATATATATATATATATATATATATGCTATTTTACAAAAAAAAATACTATATTTTTCTTTACCGAGTTGTTTTGTACAAAAAATTATATTTTGCAACAAAACAGAAATTATGATAGCGTCATTGCTGGAAAATCATAAACATAAGATGCAAAATATCACTGATTGGTTGTAGTTTTTCACATAACAGTTAATGACTTGACATTTATGCTATTTTTGTGTTAGTCAGTTATATTGGTGATTAATCATCAGAATTTGCTATAGCAATGTGGAATACATCACAGAAAGCCAAACACAAGTATACAGGGCATCCAAAAAAAATGGATCACTGAATGTAAAACTTTATTGGCTACTAGCCTAAATCTCTCTCACACTGGCCCCGGGCCAGCAGCCATCCTTGAACTATAAAATAATATTACTAATATAGTTTGCTTATGAATAATATGCCCGCTAATAATAATAATGATAATAGAATCAAATCTGATGGACAAAATCAAGTCTCACTCCACATGATTCTTTGATGAGTATTCCATAAAATTGTGAAATCATGTTGTACTTGTGTGTGTGCGCTAGTGTGTTTGTGTAGAATATATTTTAAAATGTATTTTAACATTTTTTTATAATTTACTGAAATTTCAGTAACATTAATCCAGTCTTCAGTATCACACAATCCTTCAGAAATCAATCGAATATTGCTGATTTGATGCTCAAGAATTTATTTATTTATTTATTACATTTAATATGGTTTAATATTTTAATATACTGTTTTTGTGGATGCCGTGATACTTTTTTTTTGGAATTCTTTGATGAATAGAAAGTTCAAAAGTGCAGTGTACAGTCTTTACTGTCAATTTAATCCATCCTTGCTAAAGAAATGTTTTTTTTTTTACCTTAAACATTTGTGTGTATAACTTAATCAGTAGTGTATAGTCAATCAGAAATAGTCATATTACTACTATTATTGTGATTATTAATAGTACTTGCTAAACTGCAGTGTTGCTGTACTGTGAGTCAGATGCAGGAGC